ATTTAGCACATTCACACAGAAAGCAGTGAAAGCAAGTGTTTTAGCACACAGAAATGCGTGATAGTTTATTGCGATGATCCATTAGTCATGTAGACGGTGTCAACGATTATTTTGACTACAAATAGTTTTTCAATTTGATGTACATTGCAATGAAAAAACTCACATCGCATGTTCATCTCGTTTTATTGAGCACAAGCGTTACCTATAACGAAAAATAGTGTTCATATCAAGAAAAACAGCTATGCCAGATGCTGATGATGGCTATAATCGAAAAAACAACTTTGTCGTAGATTTGGTCATGACTGAATAAAAAACGAACGGTTGAGGATACAAGTACACGAAATAACACTAGAAAAACTCCGATTAGTCGCCTACGACGAGGCAGCGTACTGAGCTGTGCGTGTAGTCTCTCCAACGGTGCGCCTGCAAAGTGGGCGGAGTGACCACCTCCGGTTACGTCCCTTCCGGAGCGGATTTCTCGCTTCGGAAGGAGTATTTTGCCTCGCTACTTGGGGGTTTGCCTAGTGTGCCCACACTAGTATGCCACCGAAATCTCATCAACCTCGCTTTGGGTGGACGGTGCCTTTAACAAGCCTTGGCTTACGAAGCACTTTCGTCCTCAATTCACAAAATGGCTTTGTGGTCTGAAGATTGGAACCTTCCGGTAAATCCGGCAAAGACTACAGTAACGCACCTCGGTGACTTTTCTTGTTGCACGTATTACTACAATGGTACTGATCAAAACTTCTAACCTTGTGAAAGATCTTGGTTTAATGATTGAAATCACATTTTCCTCACACCTTGATTTAGTCTAAAAAAAATCGTATTCTGTTCCTTTCACTATCTTGAGTGAGCATTCATAGCAAAGATCCTGATGTTTTTCTAACGTTATACAAAAGTTATGTTTTACCACTCCTTGAATGCGCCTCTCCCATATAGAGTCCCTACATGAAAAAGAGTATCGAAGAACTTAAAAAATCCAAAAAACTTTTACGAGGATACTTTTCTAGAGATTCTACCCAGATCCTATTATCCAAAATCACTCCCTTCTTATCGGTATCGTTTAGAAAAATTCTTCAAAAAATTTTTCAGAGTTAGAAGCACAGGGGTGTCATCAGCGATCTAGTCCTTGGTTTTCAAATTTTACGTTTGGAAACTATGTTGAAGGCAAGTAAATACTGGTGTTTTAGACCTTGCAATAGTCGCACAGGTAGCTTTGAATTGCGTTACCGTAAACTAGGAAATAGAAGACTTTTCATAATGTTTAACTCTTTTGTTTGCCGCGTATCTAGATGGCTTTCCTTGTTACCATTAGAATTGATGAACAGCAAAGATTCCAGGATTTTCCGAGAAAACTTAATGACATTGATTTGCTTCGCATTTTGAGAATTTATAATTTTTAGGATCAACAAGTTTGCTATTTCTCACAATATCTGGTCCATTCCTTCAAAACGTTCGACTACACGCAATCCTCAAAACATTGGCCTCTGTGTAATTCTACACGACACCTAATCCAGAATGTCCAAAGAACTCATCATAGTGTTTCACTGCTGAAAGACTGACACACTATTAAAAACATATCACTTGCATTCAGTCAACTTCCAAACAATGTGATTCTATCTAACTTTTTTGCTAACATTAATTATAGCATCAGTGACTAACCAAGGTACGCATGGTTTAGCCCATTTGTCTTGTCTCACCTCCCCCCCCCTCCCCTACTTTGAAATTCTGGGTGAGAATCATAAGGAGTAATGCATACAAATTAAACGTTTTGGATGTAATGCCTTATAAAACAAGGTATCCACGGTGAGCTCAATGAGATTATATCAAGGCACGCATGGTTTAGCCCATTCGCCTTGCCTCACCCTTGCTTATCAAAATCTGGTTAACAAAGAGTGAGATAAAGCGAAAGTGATTTTGCTTGATTTATACATGGTACCCAAGATGGAAAGTAGACATTAGTCGAAGTAGTCAATTTTACATGCTATAATTCCGATGTCATGTCATATTGGTGTGATAGTGTCAGACTGACTTTCAAAATTGAGTGCGGCTGTTATCTGAGAACATTCTTTTTTTTATAATAATAATAATTTCAGGTTTCTATCCTGTGTTCACTATTTCTTTTTTGCTCTTTAAATGAGTATTAATTGTGTTCTATGATTTGTAAAGGCGCACTTCCCGTGCAATTAATGTGATACAGGGTGTCCCAAAAGTAAGTACACACTTTTCAGTCGTTGATATCTTTCTTCCCATTGTGTATTCTTCCGCCATTCAAGTACCATTCTGTAGAGGAGGCTTCATCTTAGATTTGCAGCATCGAGCGAATTACCGATCGCTCTTCATTACTGTAGGACCCACTGTAGGAACTTCGACAAGGATTTTGGGCCATTGTAAACCATATTCTGCCTTGGAACAAAACCAAACAAGCCAAAAACTCTTATATTATATTAATGGAAGCCGCTGATTTTGAATATGAAATTCCTACTTTACTGTGATGCTTCTTTCCAAAGTTATCCTAGATAAACCGTAATAACCGAATTCCCAGTATTTATCAGAAATGTAATTACACCGTCAAAAAAGCTGAAAACACGCGTAAAAAGTTGTATAGTGAAATCAGCGTGCGCGAAAACCTTAGTATACAATTTTTCAGATTTTCTGAAAAAATTTCTGTCAGAAGGCATATTTCACAATCGTTTCACATGCTGGAAGTTCTTGCAGTAATCCTACAGTAATGAAGAGCGATCGGTGATCCAGTCGATACTGTGAATCTAAGCTGAAGCCTCCTCTACAGAATGGTACTTGATTGGCGGAAAAAGTCATAATGGGGGGCGGGGAGAGATACTAACGATTGAAAAGTGTGTACTTACTTTTGGGACACCCTGTATAATATTAGGTTGTCCCGAAAGTTTTGTCCGTTTTTTCAACCTATCATAAAACGAAGATAGGGAAACGCTCTAAACACTATCCGACGCAACTTTTCCTTCTCTTTTTAACTGTCATGCTTCCATGCCGATTTATCTTTTGTTCACTGAGATAAAAGCCGAAATTTCGAACGCATGGTTTTTACTATGTCCAAGTTTGGCAATTTTTCACTATTTTTATTTCTGACTTTCGGAAAACCTTTGGCGACAGTTAGATAGAGCAAACAAAGGGCAATATGATGCAATTTTGCGGCATCTACAGCCAGCCTTGAAAAATTTTTAGAATTATTTTTCTGATGCTATCAAATTCCACTTTTGGTGGTGCCAAAAGCCAGAAATCATGAAACGGCGCACAACTAAGGTGTTATTCGATGCAGCTTTTCCTCCTCTTTCCAGTGAGTGTATTTTCTCGCCAATTTGCGGGGTCTTTGCCGATAAAATTTTCATAATTCTTGAATTTGACCCCGCCCCAGTGTGTACATGTAAAATGCAAAACCTTATATTTCGAAACGGTAAATGCTCATTTGCTTCGTAAAAATAGTGAATAATCGTAATCGGTTTTTGAAAGCTTCAAAATCCGATGATTTGTTAGTGTTCGAGGCGTTTCTGTATTTTAGAACTTCCCAAAAGTAAAGACTTTTGAAAAAATTATCTTTGAAAATATTGAAAAGCCAGCCAGATATGCCAAATAATTGCATTGTATTGCCCTTTGCTTACTCTATTTGAGGGCTATCAAAGGTTTTCCAAAAGTTTAAAATGAAGCTTGTGAAAAATTGTCAAAATTGGACATAGTAAAAACCATGGGTTCGAAATTTCGGCGTTTATCTCAGTGAGCAAAAGAGTAATCGGCATTCTTGACAGTTAGAAAGAGGAGGAAAAGATGCGTCGGATAGCGTTTAGAGCGTTTCCCTATCTTCGTTCCACGCGTTTTTATGATAGGTTGAAAAAACGGACAAAACTTTCGGGACAACCTAATATAATCTAGTATTCCTTCAAAATTTCTCAAACAAGGCATTGGCGGTTTGTTTTTTCCCTTCAAACCTTTCTCATACCGAAGGTTATTGCCTCTTTTCTTCTTCAAGTATGTCCTACCAGATTAGTTTTAGTTTGCCTTTCCTAAGGGTTTTCAGCCAAAATCCTCAAAGCACTCAGCCGAGATGCAGTTGTTCTTGATTTTTTCCACTTGTGATGCCCAATCTTTCTCCGTTCGTCAAAGGAGACCTAGTTAAAGTGTCCGTAGCAGTCTCTTCCATGAACTTTCGACACAGCCTCCTAGGTCTTTTTAGTGTAATCAAGGCCGTAGCCATCATTACAAGATTTCGCAACTCAGAAAGCTCAAGCTCGACTTCTGTGCTAAGAGACTAATCTTTGCAAAATGGCGGCTTCTGACTGTTTCCTCTTGCAGTTCCAAAAGATAGCTGAGTAAAAACTTCTGAAGGAGACCTCTAAAGAACTTTCAGAAACAGCTAAATTTTGTAGTGCATAATGCGCTAGATGTAAAACCACTTTGACAGATCTGCACTTACGAATCTGTTTTGTAAGAAATTGAAGCACTATTTCTGACCTAAAAATTTTTTCTTTTTGTTATTATATAGAATTGTAACCATTCATGCATGACGAAGTTGCACAAAATCAAGCAGAAAATTTTTAACCATGATTGTGAGTTTATTAGTATCCAGACAGTTTATCATTCGGAAATATCTTCAATTCTATCAGCTGCGGCTCTTCTCTAGCAGCACCCTACAATAAAAAACAAAATGGAATTAAAAGTGTGACAGCAATTCCGAAGAGACTACATATTTCGATGTCTCTGTATGGATAAAATGAAGAACTCGTTCAGTCCTCCCCCGATAGTGATAATGTTTTAAGAGAAATTGTTTTGCCATTTGTTCATGACTACTCTGATCGGATAAAAGTTACTGCCTTTTACGAGACACGAATTGCGCTTGACAAACGCAAAAAATCCGGACCAGATCCATAGCACACCTTCGTGATAATAACGGTAGAACATCACTTCCAATAAGGCACAATTTTTCTTTTTACCACCTTAGCTTGTTTAGATTGTTGTTTTGAAAATTTAGAAAATTTAATCAATTCACTGCAGCAATGAGACACCACACTCGCACGATTAGGAACAATCAGAGGAATAGAAGTTGAAGTATTCGAAAAACTCTTCATGAATCCATACCAATTTTGTTTTCTAAAAAAGATTCTGTACATACACTGGCAGACAACTAAGAAATTAGTATCAAACATAATTGTAAGATTGCTAATTGGACGCGCACAGAGATAAACCGTTGGAAATTTGAGCGGAAGATTTCGCAAGAGGCGACATCCAAGAAGCTTGGACGGTGTTTGGAACCAATCGTTTTCAAGAGCTGGCCTCTTTCTTTGCGTCTATTCAGCACTCTTTACGTCCGTAAGATGAGTTGACAACTACTGAAAGTGCAAGGCACCTTGCAGGTTTAACGCGGTAGGAATGTCGCAAAAGTGACTACTTGGAACCTGTGAAGAATGTAGACATATTGCGTTAACGCTTTGATTCAAACAAATCGCGATTTCTTGATGAGAATTCCTAGGTTGGAATCCGCTTGTTAACTGCAGCCCACATGTCCTGCTGATCCTCGCAAATCATGATTTAAGTCACGGGGAGACACAAAGCATTATTAAGACCTTATGACTATAGGTTGCACTTTCCGATACTGTCAGCCTTCTTTTTTCGTATAAACAGGCATATGAAGCACTTATATTCCAAATTGAGCTCACCTATCTAGGTTGACCAGTCATTTGGCCTCTTCTTCTGAAACACGATTTTTAACGTTACAGGAACATATAAACCTGTTTGACAAATTACACCTTCAAAGGAAACTTACATTCGGAAAGACTTGTCGTCAGGTCCCGCTACTTTTGTTGGAGTGTCATCTGAAACAGTACGAATAGATTACGCCAGTACATTGAAGCTTTTTCCCACTACACTAAAATACCATGAAGATTCATAGAAAACAAAAAGCTTTTTTATTCATTCCACTTATGTTTTGCAGAATTTTCCACCCTTTTTTCTTAAGTAGAAGCTCACCTCCTTGGCCCTGATCCGGAGCTTGCTCCAGCGGTGAGAGCACTTTGAAGCCAATTTTTCCTTGTTTGTCGACGTAGACGACTGCACCCTTGTTGTTCTGAAAAAAATTGGCGTATGATACTTGAATGATAAGAAAAAGCAGTACTTTTTCTGTGTTGTTGAAAGGACTATCAAAAGAAGTAAAAGTTCAGTTCTCAATACATTTGCGCAATCACTTAATCGTAGTTTTCTTAGACAAAAATGAGCTGAATAACAATATGATATGAGGTTGCCAATGATTTTAGGGGATGAGGATATCATTCTTGTTGCATTTAACGCGAACAGAATTTTGCCAGCAAAGGCCAAGAAACTCACCGCTTCAGGCTGATAACGAGGAGCTGTGAAAACAGTGATTAATTTTCTATTACAAAAGAAACCATATCCAGACATCATCATCTAAAAGTAAATATTAGGTCTACGTTTGCTGATTTCGAATAGTTGTACTCACTTGATGGGCTCGAACTATGAGATCAACTCGCAGTTTTTCGCAACATTGGAGTACTGTGTCTTCCCCAAAGAATGTTGCTACTCCTCGAACGGTGTTTGGCGCATACCTTGAGTATTGGTTGAGCATTCATAGGCTAGATTAATGGTGACTACCCTTGGATGTTAAGCATGGGATCAGCCCAAAGGAGATCCATGGCGAGGGGATTGTTGTTAGGTTCATCCAAAGGCCGTGCGATCTAGAATTTCATGTTTATGATTATATCCAAGAAAACCAAGTTGAAAATCCTAGGATTTCGGCGCTATACAACAGCGGGACCACTAACTATGTAATCCACAAGCCCCGCTGCAAAAGATGGGTTCTAAAGCGAAAAAGCGCTCCAGAAGATAGGAGCGGCCCAGGTGGCTCCTCCCATCAAAGTCTGGTGGTCTGAGGATAAATGAGCTCGAAAGGAGGCTTATTAGATGGAAAACTTAAAAGTCCCATAAGCATAATGAAAGGCGATTTATGACAGCTTTTTAATACAATAGAGTCCGGTTTTTTTACCTTCAAACCAACAACGTTGACGGGCGGAGCCACCTGGTCGCTTCAACTTCTGAAGCGTTTTTTTTCGCTCCGGAACTCATCTTTTGCAACGAAAACTGTGCAACTACTTGGCTGGGGACCACCTTAATGTAGGTGGACGGTACTTTTTATAGGCAGTGTTTGCTAGGTAAATTTTCTGTGACTGAGTCTCGTGGTGGTAAAGAGGCACTGACTAAGCTAATGTTTGAGACGGAATACTAATTCAATTGTGTCAGAGAAGTTCGCTGTTTAACTCCGGCCTATTACCGTATTATCCTCTGATTTTTTCCGGAAACAAGCCACATGCCTTGCAGGTATTGGCTTACTTACTCTTCAAGCACTTTCTGGCAAAAGTAGGTAAAAACATTCGCCTAGAACTGTTTTCAAGCAAGTAGTTTCTCATGATGCAACAAAGTGCGCAAGGAAGCGCTCACATGTTAGAGAATACTTGTAATGTTTCGACTTCACGTTCAAAGCTATGTGTTTTCAGTAAGAAGTTAGAGAGAATATCTTACTTTTCGTATGTCTGCAAGGGAGTTCAAGTAAGCAGATATTCCTCCATGCATGCACAAAATCTTCTTCCCTACCAGACCCGCTAAGGGCAGCCACGCGAACACTTCGTTGAAACCAAGCCATAGCCTTTCCGCTTCTTCCTGAATAAGCACAAGTTGAGATGGAAGATATGAAAATGTGCAAGGATACGCACCTTTTCAAAGCGATCAAGAAGTTCGTCGTAGAATCCATAGACGCGATTGATGCCTTTGCACTCGTGGTTTCCTCGCAATAATTGATACTGAGAATGTCTGTTGTAACTGATGATAAGCACCATGCCGTTTACCTTCCGTGGAAATAAGATTTTCAAAGTGAAAACTAGGCATACACATTCTAAAGAGCGTCGGCCGCGATCCACATAATCACCGAGAAAGATGTACTAAATGTCTCCTTGCATTCGTCAATTTTCAATCAAGGTAAAATTACCTTGACTCGCATGCTCCCATGTTGGTTGCCTTCAGAAAACTTGCTGAACATTCGCAACAAATCAAAGTACTGAAATCTCATTATATTCTGATTCTGAAGTAGAATCGCGAAAACAGACTTGGCCGTGAATGTCTCCTACTATTACGATAGGCGGGTTAATTTCTGCTAAGGTATTCTCTTGTTTTAACAGTTCGAGGCCGCATCTTATGACATCTTTTAATTCTTCTGCAGTGTACTTAATCTGAAACATTTGTATGAGGTGTGCTGGGATTGATCTGTCTGGCATCTGGCGCTACACCCTGAAAAGATTTTTAAACTAGCTGAAACTCTATCAAGGGGCACAGATGGAGTTTGCTCAATGCTCAACACCATCTGATTCCAGAAAAATTTTGAAACAAACCCGTTTTAGAATTCAAAAATTTTTGCGAACCTTTTGACCTTTTCGACCCCCCCCCCCCCCCGGTATCAATAATCATCGACGCCTGAGCATTCTGGACTCAACCCTTCAAAACAAACCATTTGCAGATTTTTTCAGGAGCTTGTATACTTTTGGGTCTACTATTTAACACCATTAAAATTGCAGAAGTCCATCTTCCAGTCACTGCCTTTGAACCAATAAGACCAAACCTAGAGCTACAGTCTAAAGCAAAGTCAAATCTTTTTGTTTTTCTTATATAGGATATTCCCCCACTGTGGTCTGCCGCCTTGGCGTGGGGATGAGCCCTGGGCCTCGCACTGCAACACTGCCAAGTATATACTTTGGTAGGCTCTCCCAAGCTGAGAAGGAGTTTGATATATTTAGTTTCGGCAGGATGTCCAGTTAAAGATCGGACCAGGTTGAAACCTCTGCCGTCTGGTTTTTCGATAGCTAGGCGGCCTCGCTCATACCCGTTAGCGATCGCCCGCGAAAGTCAAAAGTAGGCCTAGTAAGTCGCCTGTTGTAGGGAAAGAAATTTAGTCACTTCATAAATTAGAAGAATAGAAATAAACTCTGCACATCAGATCCCACCTACGGCGCCGGGTGGCAGAAAAAACGATGTCAGGGTCCTCAGGGCGCCTTTTGGATTGTACAAAACGACACGCGTCAGCTCTGCATCTACAACGCTAGGACAGTCCCCATAAACGCCGACCTCCACCCTCTCCTCGACGCTGCAGAGCACATCAAGTACCACGTCAAAAAACGAAGTCCATGAAGGAGGACGCGCGACCGATGAGTGATGGGATACTCATCATTTGTGGTGAGAAACTTCGTCACGAAACGTTGGAGGCGTTGGGTTTGTCGTTAACCCACCCAGCGTCCAGCTTGATTAGCATGAGATCCTATCACCTCGACTAGCCATCCTAGGACTACGACTTCCACGTCAGAAGACCATCATCATCATCAACTGCTACTCCCTGCTACTCCCCATCGGCAGCTGACGACTCAGAACTAGATGCTTTTTACGAAGACGTGAAGCAGGTTGTCCGCAACGAAAAGTCCTTCTACAAGTTTGTTGTGGGCGACTTCAATGCGAAAATCGGGATGAATGCCGCAAGAAAAGGAATAGAGGATTAGGAAGTTTGAGCATGGACTCCGGAATGAAAACGGCAACCGTCTCGTTGGCTCTCCGCCTCACGAATTTTCCATGCTCTATCTTCATGAAAAAGAACACGCCGGTGGACATGGAAATCGCCCAACGGAACGACTCATGCGGAGATCGATGTAGCCTACACAATGTCTCAGTAGTTCCATCCTTCTGCAGTAACTTCGATCAACGTCGTTTTCAAGCGAAAGTACCAATCAGAAGAAAGCTGGAAAAAAAGGTGTGCTACAGCACCGCAAGGAGGAAGAATACAGTTTATGACGGTAACAGGCTGGAAGAGCTCATATCAAGCCGTTATTGGCCCATCGAGGAGGACCCAATGTACGACTTTGACTGGCTTTTGATTAGCCTGCGAAAACTGCGCTCAGTGACTTCCGAGCAGAACTTGGAACTCATTTCAAAGACCACCAAGGAACTACTCAAAGGCAGAAGATCCCTGAGGCAAGATCTGAGTGCAACCCATCTCGAGCGACTGATAGCCAATGCCACCTGCAAAACAGCTTTGCAGGAGGATCTCAGGAAGTACAGGTAAGCCAGCTTGATGGAAGCAGCGGGGAAGACGAAGTCTTAAGAAGCGCAGAAGGGACCTTTGTGAATATCACGTGCCGCTGGCTGCACTACCAAACAAAGAAGGAATTTCGACTTTTTCCCAATATCCCTGTATCAGCTGTATTCCCGATGATCATCGTCCCGTGTTGCATAAGCGTGTACCAATGATGACTCCATTCGTGCCTGTCTTGGGCGACTGTTGACCAGTGTCTTCCTATAGGACCAGGAACACGTGGAGCGTTTTGAAAGATTTCATCAAAGGACTTCGTGAACATGTCTGACCATCGCGTCGGCGGTCTTCTTCGTTCGCCTTTGACGTCCAGTGGTATTCAATCTGTTACAGCTCTCGTCCACCTGATGTTGTCGAAATTAAGACGCGGGAGCGTCCCTAATTTTGACGCAAGGTAGAACTTCTAATCCATGCCTCACTTGCGTGAGTCGATTCACTCCTCCATCACTCTCTCAACAGCACGCTTGATGACGCTAACCGCGTGTTCATCCTGCTTTCACATTATCCATGATTCTGAAGCGTACGTCAAACAGGAAGAACCGTCGAGTTGAAAAGGTGGGCGCGGAGCCGGATGTTCTTGGTCTTCTTCACTATGTCCTCAATTGTCTTATATGCTCCCCATGCTGCACGTTTCCTCCTGCTCAGTTTCGGAGCTAGATCGTTCATTATATTGAGTTCACGACCTAGTAGGTGTAGCTTGAGCATTCGGTGATGTTCGTCCCGTTGAGCATGAAAGGAGCATCAGGCACTCTTTCGTTCCTCATGAACATCGTCTTCGTTAGATTCAGCTTTAGAACAATTCCACATACTTCGTCAAACTGAGCCAACATTTGTTCCACCTGCTTGATACTTGGTGTCAGCAATATAATGTCATCAGCAAAGCGAAGGTGGTGTAATTGCCAGCCGTCGACTTTCACTCTATGTTGTCCCATTTCAGCTTATGCATGACGGTCTCCAGAGCGGCACCGAATAGTTTTGGCGATACAGTATCGCCTTATCGCACGCCTCTCTTCACGTCGATGATGATGTCCTTGTAGAATGATGATGCTGGTTATGAAGCCACTATACAGTTCACGAACTACCTTGATATAAAAAGTAGGGATACATTGATTACTTAAGGCATCGATGACGCCTTCAGTCTTAACCGAATCAAAGGCCTTCTTTAAGTCGATGAAGGTGAGACAGAGAGGCATCTTATACTCTTGTGACACTTCATCCTTGACACCGGGTAATGTACGGTTCTTCATCGACGTGATAGCATGACGAATCTTGGAAGGAAGAACAGCGAAACGACACACTCGCCCTTCTTGGCATGGCATGGTGGAACGTGGACGTGGCTCGCAAAGAGAACAGAGTGGTGTCGTGGGTGAACTTCTCCATGGATCTTCGTGAAGCAGGTATGGTTCTGTTAGGACGCTAAAGTGAGGTCATCTGGTCTTGAAGTCGACGAAGCTTCGGCGGGCGTTGCGAACACTTCTTTTGAACTCCGCGGCGTCAACCATCACTGCTATTCTTCCTCTCCTTGAGGTCTATCGCATCTCTGCAACGCTTCGCAAACTCGAAAACTCACATGGGAACCGTGTCGAGTCGAAGTGGCCTTTCCAGATGAGACCCATATTGCTTTGAAGAGCATTAGGCGGTGATTCCAAATCTGCTTTCCAAATCTGCCAAGCGCCTCTGGACGCCGAGTTATGCTCGTTTTTCAGGTCAAAAAATTGAACGCAAAACTGAAGCAAAATCGCCCAAATTTGCTTAAATGCTCCAGTGTCAAGTATCAGAGCTGTTTATGCGATGGATACATTTTATTCAATATGCTAATACTTAACATTGCTTTATCTGAGCGCTGGAAAGATTGTAACAATCAATTTTACCTAGATTCTGCATTCATTTTTCGTTCCGAAGAACGGTTATAACTCGGCGTCCAGAGGCGCTTGGCAGATTTGGAAGGCAGATTTAGAACCACCGTTTAATACCCTTCAAAGCATTATGGGTCTCATCTGGAAAGGCCACTTCGACTCGACACGGTTTCCTTGTCAGTTGGTAGTTGCCTGTGGCTCGTGCTCGTTCACGTTGGCAAATCAGCTCCAAAGTCTTCGCGGTGAGACGCTTTCTTGTACAATCGTGGAAATGTTGAACGAACCCTTCGTATTCTTCATCGATGTTGTCGATCAAGGTATGTCGCTGTGAGCCGGATATAGAAGAAAACAGATCCCAGTTGCTGGTAATCGTGGGAAGATGTTTCCACTTGACGGCTATCTCTCCATTCCGTGGAAAGTAGAACTTGGCACATAGGAGGCGATGGTCTGATCCCGTGTGGAACTTCGGAACAACATCGATGTCCGTCAGGCAGTACCTTCTGTTCTGTGGTCAATCTCGTTATGCTCCACCAAGCGATTCCCAGGTCCAGCGGCGGGAAGGGGCTTTTGAAACTGTGAGTTCTTATGAATAGTCTTCGTCGTCATGATAAACTCGGACTGTCTCTCCCCTTGTTCGTCTCACTTTAAACCATGGGTTTTGTGATTCGTTAAGTTATAAGTTCCGCAGTCGACCTTCTAGCTATCATCGCGTTTAAGTCACCGCGCGATGCTGAGCATCACAAATGAATTCTAAACGACTGTTCATTTTTGAAGCATTTCCATGTAAGATCGGTAATTTTGATAAAGAAAAGTTTGAAAGGAACACATGCATCGTTATGCGAGCACGAGAAAGGCATGGTGATAGCAGAGTGGGAACCTCCGCGAAGGTGACGCACTGGTTGAAACAGAGCACATTTTTCATGCTCGCTCCCCTTCCCTCCTCTGGCTCCTTTGCTTATGAACCGACAAGACAGGGTTTCCAAGTGGATGATAAAGTACGCAGTTATTAGGAATTGTCTAGTCTCAAAGCCATGGCCGAGCAAGGCCGGCCATGTATCATGCATTTCAAGTTTCGCTCTTCCGACAAAACAGCGCGAGCATATCGCATGCCTCTCATCTTGCGTTCAGTTGGTGATAGTTGATTGCCATTCATGGCCGAAAACTATCACAACCAATGCGCAAAATAAATCGGTATGCGGACTCGTAACAATTGCTGTGCCGAAAGAATCGCGAGTAATGAGACTGCATGATGTTTGTCTGCCTTCAAAGTACTTTCCATCCAAACCATTCCCTGACAGCGATCTTGTCGGTGAATCATATAACTTTGTCGTAAGGTGAGCGATCAGGGGGAAGCTGAGATTTACAAAGACCACCTTGAAGCCAACCAATTCGCCTCCTAGCACGCTTGAAACAGCTCGATCAGCACCTGTGCCTATTTCTACTGAAGATTTTTTTTGACAAAACTCACGTGTCTGTCATTGAGTACATTACTCATTTTGAGATGCCTCTTCAAGAACGCCGAGTAGTCCACTCCTTGGTGCGGCATCGTAAACTATTGAGCCGGTGATTGAAATCCAGCAGCTAAAGGAGTGGGAAGTGAAATGCTTACATCCCACTTTCAATCCTTTTTATATCGATGGGTGATAATTCTTATCAGCCCAATCCTTGTGCTGCGTTTTCATTCTTAATGTTCACGATCGGCAGCACTATATGAGCTTTTACATAGTGAGTCATTGTATGAAAGGAGCACAATTAAAAGATTATTTCCAGTTTTCTGCTTTAACAACAAACTGTAAGCGTAGGCGCATGAAGATGTGCAAGCGAGAAGCTATGTCATGAGAACAAGATATAAAGCTTAGATAAAGACAGAGTATGTTATGAGAATAAGATCAATTGTTACAGATATGAGGATGATATGCATTCCACGCTATCCTACTATAATAACGCGCTAAGGCCGTCTGTTTTTTTGTGTGTGTGTCTGTCTGTAAATCTGTCTGTCACGAAATTCATAGACGAAGCTGCAACTAATCTAGCGGGCTGCAATTTTGCATAACATACCGTGCCAGCGTGTAGGCCCACCATGCACAAGGACGAGCCGGTTCGATAAGCGGATCCCTCAAAATTTGTGCGTCAAACGGGCCCACGCGCCTTTTGGCACGACTGGGTCGCTAATTCGCTTTTTTGCAAAGTTATGATTTGCCTGACAAGTAACTCTAAGGGACCCGTCATACTTCGCCGAAAAAAGCCCAAAAGCGCCCAAAAGCGCCCAAAAAAGCCCGAAAAAGCCCAAAAGCGCCCAAAAAAGCCCGAAAAAGCCCAAAAAAGCCCGAAAGCGCCAGAAAGAGCCGGAATGTAGAAACGAACTTTTGGTAGAATTCTGACATTATCTTATCATGCGGACGACAGAAAATGACAAAAAGGCTCGATTGCGAAGTCACACACATGCTTTAGCGAAAAAACGTGCGAGAAGTGTTCCGGCTCTTTCTGGCGCTTTTGGGCTTTTTTGGGCTTTTTCGGGCTTTTTTGGGCTTTTTCGGGCTTCTTTGGGCTTTTTTCGGCGAAGTATGACGGGTTCCTAAGCGCCATGAATTCTAGCCCAAAAAGTGCTCAAAAAGTTTGGTTTTTTGCGAAAACAGCGCCAAAAAGTGATGAACGCGTAGATAGTGATTTGGCAAGGTTTTATTTGAAAAAACTGAAAAGATTTCGCACTGAAATGTAGCCCAAGGTGACTATTATCCTAATGACGATTATCAAACTAAAATAAATTCAGTAATCCTTTCAAATTTGCATTTGTTTCCTTGCAACAAGGTTTTTTTTCTCAAAATTACCGATCTTACATGGAGATGCTTCATGAATGAGCAGTTGTTTACGATTCATTTGTGATGCTTAGCATCGCGTGGTGAGTTTCAAAGCCATTCTCATGCGAACATGAGAAAGGCATAGGGATAGGAAGCCAGTGCGAACCTCCGCGAAGCGGAGGTGACGCACTGGTAATATATAATCTACCACCGCAACCACCTGTCGACTAGTCCACCACCACAAGGAGTCTTCCTCCCTGGCAGGACGGCAGGACCCGACCGTGCTCACCGTCTCCCGCTGATGCGGATCCCCATCTGTATCCTCCACCGACCCACGCCACGGATTACCATCGCGATATATCATGTTGCTATGCCAGATGTACCCTTTATGTGCCATGTAGATAAACCTGATAATCGGTCCTGTGTTTCCTACTAGTTGGATAGCACGCTTCCACGGCGCTACGTTTACTGGTAGCAGCGAGTGGTTTCCGCTATCAAGGAAACGGTGAGTTTTTTTTTGCATTGGACCTGATGGTCCCCCTGCCAGTAGCCTCCGGAAAGACCCATTTGTCCGACCCTATTGGGCCGTGAGCCAAAGCGGGCGAAATCGCTTAAGGTCAAAAGACCGTTGGAAAAGTTTAGTCCGACCCTATTGGGCCGTGAGCCGAAGCGGGCGAAATCGCTTCCGGTCGAAAGACCGTGGAAAAAAAACAAAAAACAAAAAAAAACAAAAAACAAAAAAACAAAAAACAAAATGTTCGAAAAAGGGCATTCGTTTTCGATCCCATTTTCTCTTTCGCTGGACTCTGGCCAGGTCTCGCGAATCTCGCTAATCTTTTATTTTAAGTTTCGAAAACGTTTTTTCTTTTTCTTTCATTTGTTAGCGCGCATATAGTGAAAGAACGCCATCAGTAGTTTAGGTAAAGCTTTGAAGTGATGTTGAGCCCAGCAGAGCCGGCAGTGAAGTGAGTGATGAAAAGTGCATTCCCCTGCAGGGATAGTCGAAATGCGGACCTTTTTTTTGTATTATTTAGCAAAGTGATGTTCTGGTGTATAGGGCTCCGGCGTTCGCCCATGAGAGTGAAGTGTAGCGCAGTGAAGCGCAGCTGGGCAGGTAAGTGCAAAGGTATGTTTTGTCCGCATGTCGTTCCAGCAGTTTTATGCTGGGTAGCCCCAAATTTGTAGCTCGAGCTCAGTTTTATTCTTTTCGGGTAATTTTTTATGTCTTTTGCTAATACGCGTGCTCGCGTCCCACTCCGTAGACACTTGACATATTTATCGAAGGCTTGCTGGCTCTCAATTTATACAGCCCCCCTCCATTTGTAAGAACACTCTTAACTCCCCTCTAGTATGTTTTCTCAAACATGAGCAGCCGCCCGCCACGTTCGCGTAAGCCCAATCGAATGTAAACATAGCCAACATAGGATGACAACATTGCAGATCGCGTAAAGATACGACAGCATCGCCGATGGCGGTCTTCTTTCAGTGAGTTCTCTTACTTTGGCCCTGATGGGCTCCCTGCCCGTATACTCTTACCATGAAGCTTATCTGAAACAGCTTTATTGGTATTTTCTACTTGTTTTATTCATTTCGCCAACCGATTTAAGACTGCTAAATTCCCTTCCTGTTTCTTGACCCCTCTACCTCATCTGTATTTTTGAATAACACTTTTATCTCCTTCCATTTCAATGGACCGGCTGGCTGTGATAGAGGTGATCCTCGTTACGGTGAGTTTTTCGTTTAAATTTTCGATCACGACCACATACCGCCTCACAACACCTACAAGCAATGCACACAACAGCAGCTGCCAATCTTTCGTTTATTGGCGACACCCGCCACTGTAGGCTAACCGCAACAAGTCACATCAATAACCTAGTAAGGGCAGTATTCATTGAACATCCAGATTTCTGGAAGATAGACTGGGCGCTAGACTTGCGAACTTCTGGAGGCAAAAGGTACAGGACTATGCCGCACCAATGACGCCCCACGTCTGGGAGAGAATCGTAATTTGGATGTCTAATTATTCTGGTATGCGGAGCAGATCGCAGAGTCATAGTGGTACGCCAACGGTGAACGATGAAGGAAGATATTCGGCCACAAGCACTGAAGAAGAAGGTCATACGTCTGCATCTTGGAATAACACCAGGCCGGGTCCACAAAATGGTCAGCGTACACCCGCGTTCGCGAGAATCTCGGCAGAAGAACGAAGAAGTTTGGAAACAATCAAATCTACAACCTGATCCAACCTTCCCGCATATTCTCTCCGCTACACAAAGGATCGTCAGTTTTATTTTGAGAATTGTTTGCAGCTCATGTCATCTCTTTTTCGCCTATACAAGATACGCACTCCAGTACACATTACTTTTCTCGCAATTTACGTTTGCTGTTTGGTTACTAATTGCACATCAGCCACCTGTAATTTTAGATGTTTCGCTTTTGCCATTACTTTTTAAGCGTGTTCATATTTCAGGTGCTCATGAACCCGGTGACAGTCAGGCCGTGACGTTAAGGAACCGAAGGACGCAACAACGGAAGCCTTACTCACCACCTGTCGTGATTACTCTGCTTCAGTGGCGTCTCGCCGTCACAACCATTTGCATAGTGGCTGCGTCGCCTCGATTAGGAAATGCGATTGCGTAAAATAGTAACATCTCAAGACAAGGTTAATTATCTCATTGATGGTCTCCCCATCCGTGTCCTTCTAACCAATATACATTCTATGTCGTGCTACGGACATCCATCTATTTCGCTTTGCCTGCGCTCGTGCCGCGTGTATTCGTGAAAAACTCTCAACTCCACTCGTCTCGCAATTATCGCAACGCCACAAGCAAGTCGCAAAATATGCTTTTTTAGCTGCTTGGTCTGGCAGAAAGTCCGGTCGCACGCGAAATTTCCGAACCCGCACCTCCATCCTCTAGGAGTTCTGCTGGTCCCCAACCCGCAGTCTCTTTAGATTAAATCTTTTTATTCTCAGCGTCGTGTTCGCCTGCACCAGTAGACTATAAGGATCTTCGCAAAGATTATTGCCACACACGCATATTTTCAACACTTTCACCCGACATGCATATAAAAATGCAAGCACAGCTACAGCCGCGCAGTCCCACGGTGGACCTGGTAGGTACGAACCACTACCCTCTTGAGCAACATCATCCGGACATAGATGCACAAGCACTACCGCAATCCCGCCACTTCACAGTGACCCAGGTATGCAGGAACCAGTACCCTCCTCAGGTTAGCTTTAGAGCGTCGTGATCGGCGCCTATGCCAGTATACTCTTCCGACAGCCTCAATGGTTGACATCGCTCGTGCCCAACCGTCACTTTTAGCAAATACACCTCATACAAACAGCGGAAGTAACTCCTCGTTGCTTTTAGAAACTGTAGAAGGCGCCGAATAACACGGCTAACTCGTTGGTTCAGCCCTGCACCCGTACACTCTCAGCCCCCCAGGAGGGAATCCTCCCCGCCGCCCCCCCCCCCACCCCGGTTTCGCAGCCTGTCCCTATTCGCCGCCAGCTTCCTCAGCTCCCTAGCGAAACCCCGTCCGACCTCACCCACCCACTTATCCACACTCACCCATGGGCTCACGCTGTCTGCCCTTGCAAATTGTTCCACCCCCCTCCGCACACCCTCGGGTCCACCCACTGAAATCACCCAATCTGATCGACGTTTCAATTACGTAGTGCCGTCAAATGCACTGTAATTGCAAGCCGCAACACCTTGTAAGTCTTCCCCTTGCCTTTATCAACCACGGCGACAGTCTCGCAAAACGAGATTTGTCTGTCACGTTCCCCGCGAGACAATAGTTAGTGCCTTTGACAATCGACCCCGCATGATACAGTGTCAAACCCGCCGCAACCCCATCTTGGCAAACCCGCGCACCGCAAAACGCAACTATGAGAATTGATGCCTCTCGTCCCAAAATGCCCTGCTTAGGCGGGCCTCCTCCAACCAAGAAGTGTCCGACCCACGCGTGTATGCTAATACCATTATTGCCTTGTTCTCAGCAATCCGCAACGAGCCGTACATAATCAATCTCTAAGCTCTCACCGAAGTGTTTCAGATAGACTTTGACAAATAAACACTGCTCCTACTCCCGAGCGTCACTGCACACTGAAACCGAGTCACATCACTCTGCTTTGCGGAGTCAGTATCATGCCAATTGCAGTCGCTCCCAAAGCCCATTGGCAAGTATCCCTCCACTGCATGCTGTTGCATCTCCATACTATTCGGTCCACACTGTCAGCACATCTTTAAGTCCGAGGACGGACTTATGGGTAAAAAGGGGAGGTGTAAGCGTAGGCGCATGAAGATGTGCAAGCGAGAAGCTATGTCATGAGAACAAGATATAAAGCTTAGATAAAGACAGAGTATGTTATGAGAATAAGATCAATTGTTACAGATATGAGGATGATATGCATTCCACGCTATAATATATAATCTACCACCGCAACCACCTGTCGACTAGTCCACCACCACAAGGAGTCTTCCTCCCTGGCAGGACGGCAGGACCCGACCGTGCTCACCGTCTCCCGCTGATGCGGATCCCCATCTGTATCCTCCACCGACCCACGCCGCGGATTACCATCGCGATATATCATGTTGCTATGCCAGATGTACCCTTTATGTGCCATGTAGATAAACCTGATAATCGGTCCTGTGTTTCCTACTAGTTGGATAGCACGCTTCCACGGCGCTACGTTTACTAAACAAAATTTTAACGTGCATAATAAGTAATCGGTCATGTCGATGTCTATAAGCTGAATGTGTTCACAACTGCCTGATTCTTAGAAACTTTAGAAACGGCAAAGGAACATTATCGTGCAAACTTCCCTCATGGCGCTCACTCTTAGATAATCGCCGGGGACAGGCGGTCCGCAAATCGCGCTTTTCTGCAAGCGATCAGCAAATTTTGGGGCGTGGCCAAACCTTCAGCGGCACTTCCGTGTTCTGCCAGCGGGCAGCAATACAGAATTTTCTGCAAGCTCGTCAAACAACTTCTTTCAGCGAGCGCTGGTCAAACTTTCAGCAGGCGCTCGGACTCTTTTTACGCAGTTTCGGGCGTACGCCGAGCGAGAAGGTGAGACTGTGTGTGGCAGAGGTATTATGATGGTTCAATTACCCGAGTCTGGGATAATTTACTGCAGCGAAGGGTACTTACAGGCTGTGCGGTCTTCACCAAAGGACCGTGCAGCCAATTTTACATATTCTCGCAGAAAGTCCGCGAAAATGCTGCCACTGCGCCGCAATCAATGTATAGGAAAACCGGGATTGTTCTTCGAGTATTCCACCAAAATGGTCACACTTCCAAATTTCTGCAAGCAGACCGCGAAATTCAGCGAACTATTTTTCCGGTTCCTGCTTGCCCAAAAATCGCACGGCCGCCTGCTCCTGGCGATTATCTGAGCTCACGTTGTTTGCTCTCCAAGCTTTGGGTGGGTACTTCTTTGTTATCCGGGCCCATTTTATCAAAATGCTCTCAAGGCTTAGAATTTTTCTTCGTAGATTTTGTAAGGACTGTCTCCCTGCCATGTGTCAAGGTAAAAATTTGACTCGTTTGGGGCCAGGTTGACATGTTTTTTCAAAATAATTTCTGATAAGGTACAAGAGCATTTGAAATGACTCAAGAGCTCTTCAGGGTTTTTTCATAAAAGCAGAACATTTTTGAATGTTTATTGAAACTTAACTTTTAGTAATCATCTGAAGAAATCCTGCTCTTCACTTGCTTCCGCCATGCATATTTAGCCGGAGTGAATACAAATGATGGCTTGAAAGGCAGTGGCTCGGCAGATCTCAAGCTGTGCAACCGGAGTTGCACTGTTTTATACTTGGACAGTAAGGAACCTACTGCGTTAAGATCCTCGGTTGTCAAGTTTTGCCGATCCACTGCCTTTGAAGTACCTGGCTGTCAATTCTTTCGCCGTTCACATGATAGAACAACGCCATCTGTTTTGAGAAAATTTAATGTGATTGTCAAACAGAGAATATCATTTACGTTGTGTTAGAGCTAATTCATGGAACTGTCGACAAAAATTGGGGTCGTTATTGAATAAAAAACAGATTGACATTGATAGGTAGGCTAAATAAACTTCTGGTAAAATCTGTTAAACAAGTAGATGACATGACAATTTTGTGACGAGTAGCAGAAGATTGACTTTCCATCCTGTGGAGTTTTACCAAATTTGGTACTAGAAAAGACGCAACATTTTTCTTTAAAAAAATGGGTCCGGATAACGGAAAAGTACCAAGCTTTGAACTTTGAAGCAAAAATTATTTGAAGGTTTTGCTGCGTTCATACTGATCCCGAAGTCCGGGAACAGTTCCAGCACAGCGCTTGAAATGAGCGCTGTGCCGAAACTGTTCCCGGATTTCGAAATCAGTCTGAACGCAGCCTTATGTTGCACTCCACCTTTTCCGCTAATTGTCAATGTGTAGAAAAAACATGCTCACTAATACTCTAACTTCAAACTTAAACTAACTTTTGCTTTGCGTCAAAGTGTAAACGGGTTGTCTAACGACTTGTTCCCAAACTTGATCACTCCATGATTTTGGAAGGTGAATCAACCATTGCATTAGAGCACAAATATAAATGTTAATTAGACGTTCGCAAAAACGTTTTCGAGCATTCTAGTCTTACAATAGGTAATTATTATCCAATTCAAAATGACTTACAAAGCTTATCAAAAGTAATCTCATGCAGGTGTGTAAGGAGAGTAAATGATTAGTCATTCGTTCTTCGCCTTTAGTGAGGTAGAGCAATGTTTTCTGCATGCTTTGACCATGATAAATATGATTATAACAGATATTATCACAGCAGTTGCTATAGCCAAGATACATCAATTGAATAGTACTGAAAATATGAAAGCTGTCGTCCGTATGAATCCAAATTAGGCAGACAACCGAACTTCAATTCGCTTTTTTATGGAAACGATATGAGCAAACTAACCTTGCTGCGAATTCGCAATGTCGTAGTACAAGCTTTTCGGGGTTGATAGGCTGATTGCGCAGCACTGCTGAGATCCGCTTCGCATTTGGGAGTATCTGTGCTAATCGTTCCAAAATTACAATAAATGTATCATCCAGTCATGCGCTTTGAGTGATAGGCAAGCTCTGAAGCATCTGCGAGATATGTGCTTTGCTAGGCTTAGCACCACTCAGGTTTCACAATGGTTTCGCCCATTTCTTATGATTCACAGAATAATTCGCAGTGGTTGTGTCGGCAGGGTGTCGGAACGCATTTGCTCTATTCCAATCTGCTTCCACCGACTTCGCTCTTTTCTTACTCAAAAAGCATAATTTGCGAGCTTTACAGGCTATTCAAGCAAAGATAGCATACTGTTGTCCAGCAAATGGAGAATAGTATCTTACTTGTGCATTTGTTGATCATACAGTCTCAAAAATTCTCGTTATAGGTGCGATAAGGTGAGAATGACTCCTTCAAGGTGATGGGGGTCACAGCGTTCGCAGCCTCACCGGGTGAAGGGTGTTCTTGATAAAGAAATTATAAAATGACGGCCGGGGGAGGTGGGGGGGGGGGGGCATGGTGTTCTCTCACCATTTTTTCTAGTCAAAGTCTATAATTTTTAATTCCTTGCCATCACTGGTTGTCGTTCAGAAATATGAACCGATGTGCTGCTGGAT